GAGGAGTAGGAGACAAAATTATGTTTTTTTGATAATGAGACTGGACGAGTGGATCTCGGCAAACTGCTGACTTCAAAAGTAGCTCTTGGTTCAAAAAAGATTGGGCACCCCTGGTTTAAAGGAACAAATCAGATTTTCATAACAGTTCTCTTCATGTAATGATTTGTTGTTTCCACAGGTGGGCAGTAAAGGAGTTGGTATCATATCCATTTCAAAAAGTGGAGATCTTGCTCTGTCAGCAGCCTCTTATCTACCAGGAGTTGAGGCTGTTGTTTGCATTAATGGCTGTTCTGCTAATACAGCTCTACCTCTCTACTATAGGAAGAGACAAATCCACCCTGCTTTAATGTTTGATGTTAAAAAATATATGTCTTCCGGGTCAGGAGCCATGATTATTAAATACTCAATGCACAACCCTCTAGAAGAGGAGAACAGAGCCTCTCTGATCCCTATAGAAAAAGCCAACAGTCGTTTCCTTTTTGTGGCCTCAGAGGACGACCTCAACTGGGACAGCAAGGCCTACATGGAGCAGATGGTGGAGAGACTGAAGCAACATGGGAAGAACAACTTTGAGAGTGTGAGTTACCCTGAAGCTGGACACTATTTAGAGCCCCCCTATGGACCGTACTGTCCCTCAAGCTATCATCCAGTTGCACGCAGCCCCGTCCTGTGGCGGGGGTGAGCCCAGGTCNTCTTTGTAATTATAGCAAATGAGTGCGTCTCTCTGCCATTCTGCTGTTCCCCATATTTTTGCTTTATTTGTTAATAATGAAATTACATATGCTACCTTGGACCTTTCAGAAGGGAAAGAACTAGGTTGTAGCTCGAATTGAATCTCACACTGTGTGAGAAACGCCCGACCTTGATCTGCATCACCATTGAATTTTTCCGGTGGGCACAAACGGGGCTCCATATATGGTGACTTATGCTGAGGAGATCTCAGTGGTTCCGCTTGTGTTACAGCAGGGGGAGCTGCAACATTGCAAGTCACTGATAGACTGTTTAATTTACTATTCAAATTATCAACACAACAACCTAAATTTTTTAAAGC